GTAGAGACTACTAAAGATATGTTTGTACATGTACTTTTATTGTCAGTTGTATATAAGTATTGCTACTGCTGTATATAATTTTCTGGTATGATTTTGGATATCATTTGATTTTAGAAATTAGATGAACAGCTTGACACACTGGCTTATAAATTTTTGTTTACAGTTTATGTTATGAATGTCTTTCCTCCCATTTGGGGCTGTATATAGTGTATCATATTTTACTCTATAATTTTACTTTTACTTTTTTCTTTGCTGCTTTATTTATATATATATATTTTTTTTCCTTTCTTTTTTTTCTTCTTCTTCTGATCATCATTGTTTCATCTCCATTTCTGTTTTTTCTAATTTTCTATAATTATTATTATTATTCCTTCCCATGTTTTCATCATACCTTTTCTTAGACCTTTTGTTTAACTTTTTCCTTTCCATTAGCATTTTATCTTTTCCCTCTTTACCCTTTTTGAAACTTCATATGGTATATAACATGCTTTTGGAACAGCATAAAAAGATTGAAAATTGTCATCATTGATTGATGATCAGGATTCCATCTAAGAAAGCATGTGAGAATTGCCGTTTAAGAAATGCAGTAAAACAAATGTTACCCAGTTAAGGCATCTTTACCCATTAAGGAATATGAGGAACTTTAGAAATGATAATGTACTTAACAGACATGTATGATCTCACCAGTTATTTTTATATATAATTAGTATTCAGCATCCTAATCCCATAAACATGGCAAGCCTAAGTAGAGGTGAATTAATTAATGACGCCTCAGAATTGTCTGTCGATCCCCTTGAGTGAATCTGAGTATTCCAGGGTATTCCTGTATTTCCCATTGTGTTGTGTATAGGAAAATAGTACCAGGTACTGTTGCTTCTTAACTAAACAAAGAAAGCATGATAACACCATCTAAACCTTGTCCATGTGGGTATTTAATACTTCATCCACTAAGTTAAAGCTAAGGGATCACATAGCATCCATCTGGAAATACTGAAGTTTATTTTTAGATTCTTATGATAATTTTTTTTAGAACATACATTTATGGCGTATCACATATATTTCTGTGAGTCTTCACACCTCTCTTGTTACCACTTGTCATGTCTAGACAGTAGACTTCATCTAACCATTATGATATAAATAGATTCAGAAAATTCTTGTTATGTCTCTATTATAAGCCAGCAGTTGTTCTTGTGACCCTAGTCTGTAGAAAAAAAAACAAGATTGACTATCAAAGGACACTGAAGTTTTGATACATCTTTTTATTGGCTTCCCTTTCATACTTGTATTCAGTCTCTCTTGGCTGTTTTTGTTGATATCTTTCCTATATTCTTCCCATTTTTCATTCTTGTTTTCTTTTTTAAGTGCTTCTTTTTACTTTTATATCACTTCTCTATTACTGTGTTTTTACTAATCTTTATTATGTACTTTACTAATTCCACTGGCTCTTTTGATTAATGTGTAGCTCCTGTTGAACAAATTAACAGAGTAGAGTACAGGAGTATTGGGAGATGATATGCCAAGTAAATGCCTTCCTCCTCCTCTTTCTCCAAGTGAAGGGTTTCCTCCGCATATCTCTCTTCCCCCCCTTCACTTCCTCCTTTCCATTTCCTCCACCATATTTCTTTTGTAGATTGTTTCCTTTCTTAAAGGAATATCAGCAATTAGATTTTTTAGAATTATATGATTTGCTTTTTTTCTTAATATTTAAGAAATAAAACCATTTCTCACTTTCTTAATGTAATTACTTCCAATGATTAACAGTAAGGCAACTGCATGTGATTTGGATATATATGTGCAACTTTGGAATGCACTGACATTCACTAGGAACAGTATATGCAATTATCATTTTACTGGTGCATGGAAGGTCTGATCTGATTTAGTGGTTATTAGACACCTGAATTATTCACTGTTTTGTATATATATTTCAAATATATAAGGAGATGTGTCACACTTTGATCTGGTATTGAATTGATAACTTATATATGGTACAAACATGATGAACTGACTTTTTTAAATGATAGTCTTCCATTATACTTTTTAGTTTTTAAGCACCAAGTGAAATTTGTTGTTTTTTTCATGTATCTGAATTTTTTTAAGCGGCACTATAATAAATATTTATCAATAAAAATGTAAGATGACATGTGAAATAGTGATAATATTTACATACAATTGTTTTCTATTTATTTTATATTTATCATGCCAAGGCATTTTTCTTTTTCTTTTTTTGGTCAACATATTCCTCATTTTCCCCTCCAACACAATTCCAACTACACTTAGTCTAGTGTACTCTGGGTTACCTGCACCATTCCTTCAAGAACACAGAAAGCAGGTTTAACAATCCGTAATCATAAGTTCGAATTAGGAAAAATGTTTAAGGACTTCATTTTATATCTATTTTACTTTTGAATACTTAGTTTATCAGCTCTTTGGATTTGCCAGATGTATGAATTGTAAGAATATCTTTTTTAAGTTATATTAGTATGTACAAGTAAAGTTTGAG